TTACCCTATCCACGAGTCCCATTTGTACGAGGACCCTTGGGTGGATAATACAGGCGCCACTTCCGTCATCGATCATGACTCTTTTAACATCCGTATCAGCGATACGTAAAGTGATAACTAAAGCATCATAATGAGGGAAAGACAAACCGTCGGCATCAGACTTATCGAAGGTGATACTATCTTCGAAGTCGTCATACCGTTCATGGGCGATGGTCCGCTTTAGTCTGTGTGTGGTGGCGAACTTGACGTGATTGATCACTGACTCGTCGCCGCCTCCGACGATCATGTTTATCGTGCGAGTTGGGGAAGTGGCTTCGGCGGCCCGTGGGGTTGTTCTCGTCCGCGTGCAAAGTTGATTTTCCCTTTGTCACTGAGTAACTCCCTCAGGTATCCCTGGTTCAGCATCCTAACCACCTCTTGCCGTAGGCCTATGCAGTCTTCGGTTTTGTGTCCCCGTTCCTGATGGAACTCACATAGGATGTTTGATTTCCTTGTGGCAGGGTCTGATTTCATCTTCTGCGGCCACTGCACCTTGGTGCCCAACTTCTTCAGTGCATACACTATTTCTGAAGGAGACACACAAGTTATGGGCAGTTAATAAAGGGGGCGTACCTCTTTCGTTTCGGAGTGGGGCGACGTGTCGCTGTAGCGCGTCTGTATGCCTTGGTGGCCTATGGGAGGATCTGGTGTATGGCTGATGTCGATCTCCGTTGGAGCGGTGGAGTTGTTCTCGTCGTCCTTCGTTCCGTCGATCTCTCCTCGTTTCTGAGTGTATCGCTGTTAGCCATTGGCTCGGCCCATTAAGATCATCCTCGTCCGCTCGTACCTCGGCGCAATAGGCGTTGTGGATTTCCTCCCATGTGGTGGGGGGTTATTTCATGAGGCGGCTCAGCAACTTCTTGGTTGCCCTCGAACCATCCCTGCTTAGCCCGTTCTGGAAAGCGGCGACTGCCATACCTTCCGATACGTTTGGTAGACTCATCCTTACCCTGTTAAACCTTGCTAGGAAGTCCCTGAGTCCCTCTCCTGTGGTTTGCCTGACGGCGAAGATGTCGTTGACCCTGGCCTCCGCTTTCTTCACGCCTACATGGGCTGTGACGAACTTATCCGCCATTTCCTCGAACATTGATATTGCCTTAGCCGGTAGCTGAGAGTACCATGTTAAAGCCCCTCCTGTCAACGTCTCGCCAAACTTCTTCAGCAGTACCGACGGTACCTGTTCTTTTGATAGGTCGTTGCCCTTCACAGCGGTGACGTAGTGGATCAGATGATCCTCGGGATCTGTGGTTCCGTCATATACCCTCAGGTAGGGTGGCATCTTGAAGGTTTTTGGGGTGGAGTGAGGGGCAGCTTCTTCAGTGTATGGTTGTTCAACGAACCTTCCCACGTCGTTTTGTAAGCAACTTGGGAGCACCGGGGATCTTGTCGACCCTCTCCTGATGTTCCTTCATCTGATCGCGGAGTGCCTTGTTTTCATTTTCCATTTCTTCCATCTTCTTTAGGATGGCTGTTAGCGTGCCATCGTTGGTCTGTGTCTCGACGGGTTCGTTATTTGCTAGTGCAACTTCCGGTTTCGACCCCACACGCACGTAGTCGGGTATCTACCGTTGGTGTACACCTGATGTTACTTTGTGGTGACCTCTCAACCAAGCCACTTAGAGTGCTTGTTAGCCATCTTTCCAGTAGCTTCTTGACCGCTGAGGGTGCTTCCGTAGCCGCAGATGTGGAAGCTCCTTTTTCGTGCAAGATCGTCAGATCTTCGGATGGGGAAGGTGAGATCTCTGCACCCGGTGTGATGCTAGGGGTTGCATTCAGGATGCCATCGTCACTGGCCTCGTTGAGAGGGCCAAGGAGATTGGTAGTGACACCCAATATAGCTATCGATCTTGTGTTATTTTCGGCCATCTTCTATTTTTGTGTGGTGTAGAGAGTGGTAGTTGGTTGATCTCTAGGTGGATACTATGGTTTTGATTCTCGAAACCCCCACACACGGCGCCAAATTATTTGGCTCAAAAGTTAACAATATACTTTGTAAGCTAGAAAACAATCAAAAGTAAGGGAAGGGTAAATCGTAATCAAATATAGTAGACCTAGAGATGTAAAGATGATGTTATTGTTGTAGATCTAGTATTATACAGTGACAATATGAACTCAAGAGAATATGTTCGTTTGAGACAGAGACAGAGAGAGTCAGAAAATGAGAGACTTGTATTATTCCAGGGTCCTTCCCTTTACAATGTGAAGGTCTCCCTTATATAATAAGAGACCTTCCTCGAAATAATCAAAAAGTTACAAAAATAGGTAACGTTTTCCTAGTGAAGACACTGAGTCCTAAACGATGTCGCTTTTGTCCCCACGTCCGAGTCGTACCCCTTACGTTTGTCGGCGTACACTCACTGGGCGTACCCATTGGCGTAGAGACACTGACGGTCAAATTTGACCCCATACAAGGCCATTCGAAAATTTTGCATCCGAGCAGTAAATTAGTAAATATTCCATTAAAGAACTTCTCATGAAACTGTCAATTCTTTGTTATAGAACTTCTCTTGAAATAGTTCTTAACTCTTAAGAATGATACAATATAAGAACATGAAGGAAAGATTTACAAGAAAACTTGAGAGGACATATTAGCAACTCAAGTCTTTTCTGAAGACGGAGAAACTGATGGAAATGAAATTTTGGACTGATCCGATGAAAGTGACAAATGGTGTTCAAAGACAGTACTCCCTCCGTTTCATATTAAATGAGGTACTTTCCTTTTTAGAGCTATGGTTAGATCGGCCATGTTGTATGGGGCAGAGTGTTGGCCGGTTAAGAACTCTCATATCCAGAGGATGAAAGTAGCAGAGATGCGGATGCTGAGGTGGATGTGCGGGCACACTAGGATAGACAAGATTAGGAATGATGATATTCGGAAGAAGGTGGGCGTCGCCCCTGTGGATGACAAGATGCGGGAAGCGAGGCTCAGATGGTTCGGGCACGTGCAGAGGAGAAGCCTTGATGCACCTGTGAGGAGGTGCGAGCGGTTGGCCGCGGTGGGTACGAGAAGAGGTAGAGGGAGACCTAAGAAGTATTGGGGAGAGGTGATCAGGCAGGACATGGTACGACTGCAGATTTCCGAGGACATGGCCCTTGATAGGAAGGTCTGGAGGTCAAGCATTAGGGTTGTAGGATAGGGGTAGTAGAGCTTTCCTTACTTCATACCGGGGGTGAGGCGGGGTTGGCTTAGGGTTGATCTTAGATGGCTTGCAGTTTATGTTGAACCCACACTATTCTTGTTGTTTAACTTAGCCCGGGCCTTAGACTCTGGTTACTGTTATTGCATGTCATTTATCATTTGGTTTTTATGATTCTGTTACTATTACGGTTTCTACTGGAGTTACTAATGAATTCTCTTTTCTTTTCTTGTTTTTTATTTCCGTCTTTCTGAGCCGAGGGTCTATCGGAAACAGCCTCTCTGCCCTATCGGGGCAGGGGTAAGGTCTGCGTACACATTACCCTCCCCAGACCCCACTATGTGGGATTTTACTGGGTAGTTGTTGTTTTTTAAGGGAGAAGAAGAGAAAAGGAAACACTGCCTTCCGAGGATCAGGTTATACTTGACAATGTAGGATTAATGGAAATCAACAAAAAAAAAAATGCTTGAGAAAAGAAATATTGCCTAGATTTAAACTTCAGGAACTTTTTGCAGGCATTTCAGATTTTTTTAATTACATTTCTAGACCTTTATAAGATGTGCCAAATTAGAGATATTTATTGCAAACTACTAAACTGCTTCAGAATTGCCAGTTAGAAATGTGGTCCACAAAAGTTGGAGTAACATGTATATACATGTTTGTAGTGGCTCCATTGAAGCTTAGTTATAAGTTATTCTGAATATTCGAGAAAAGGGAGCAAAGAAAATGAAAATGTGGTGCCTCTTTTCTTGGAAGGCCTAAAGGTGCTCAGGCTCATTATTTAAGTTTTTGTGTTAAACTTCGGTATATGATTCTTCCATAAAGAAAATACAGGGTATGCTTTTTTTTTTTTAAATAAATTGTTTGGTCGTCAAGTCCTGCTCTTGTGAAACAAGCTTAACAGGTTACATTTAATTCCTTTGGTTGTTTTTGTAAGCTTAAAATCTATATGCAGGTCCTAGTTGGTGTTCTATTTTGAAAAGGTCAGTTATATAAGGTGCTTGATTAGAAATTCCCCCTCTTATGTTACATTTCAGTATCTTCTGTCCCATGTTTCCAAGATGAACAATGAGGTTGTTCCTGTTGTACAAGGATTAAATCCTGGTAATTAGGCTTTGAATTGCAGAATTTTGGTAGTGTCAGAATACTAGTTCATCATTGGCTGCAGCATAAAAGCTTAAAGACTTAATGCTAAAGAGAATTTTATACTTACCCCTACAGCTGTCACAAAATTGCACACTGCACATTTCACTGATCGTGCCCCATATTGGTACATCAACAGCATGCGGCAGTTGCCACAATTCACATGTGCTACCTGATTTGCTGTGACAATACCATTTTATTCTTACTTGTACTAGCAAGGATATGTAATATAAGGAATATATTTCAAAAAGCTGGAGAATCACTTTACCTTCCATAGCTAAATTGACTGTGTGACAACAAGAACACTGCACGCTTGTTGCTCCACGAATGTACATTAGTAATGTGTGGCGGCCTCCACAAACCAACTGAGCCATCTCAGTGCCTGTTTAAGGTTCATAACATGTAAATGGACTTTAGGAGCTTAAAGATTTAAATGAATGTTCAATCAATGAACATGTGCCAGGAGGTGGTACTGCTGTGACTGCATTGCAAACTGCACAGCAGACAGATGTTGCTCCAACTGGATAGAGTAAAAGATTTCTACATCCAGAGCACACGAGCTGGCTCTGTGTACCTGTCAGTCACCATATTATACAGTCAAACAGGTCTCGCATTATTATAAAGTGGTCACTTTTCCTGAACGGTGAGACTGATTCATCAGAAAGTTGAAGCTGAATTCAGAATTATTAAGCAATTAACAAGTTACTAGTCAAGAAAGTATTGGTGCCCATGACGTTAATTGATTTTGGTCTATTTAATAAATACACTTCATCTAGAAATGCTAAATTAAACTTTGATTTGGATTCTAGAGTTGGAGATTTAGATAAGAACTCTTGATCTTCCAACTACAACCATCAATATTATCCTTCTTATTTGCCTTATTATTATTATTAGCAAGCAGAAATAGGTGAATGGAAAATGTTGTACCGTTAGCAGGCGGTGTAAATGGCGTTGGTGGTGTAGGATATGGGGCAAGAGGAACTGGCATTGTGAAGCTAACAGAGGTAGTCAAGTCCACTCCCAAGATCTCAAAAGCTTACTGCTTCAACAACTTTGAAAAGAGCAGCTGCTTCCATCTAAATTTACTGTATCCTGAAAAAATACGGAAAACTATACATGATTGAGCTAGCAACTAAAGGACCTGAAATTTCTGGGCTGAAAAATGAATCTGAAAACTACAGAAATACAATTAGGAAAAAGGGAAATGGATGGTTGATAACTTTGCATATCAACTCATTAGCAGTCTATATGCTACTTAAATTTCATACATGATTTTTTACTGGTTCATCCACTGAGCATTTGAAACATAGAGGTGCTCAGTTAAGCGTATGGAGAAGAGGTTTTGTCCCCGTCTTACGGGAGGTTCATCCCAGCAGAGGAGTCAACCTTCGGCTTCAGCACCAGTTACTTCCTCACCCGCTCAGTCAGCTCGGGGTGGAGGTCAGTCAGCTAGGGGTCTCCCTAGAGGGGGAGGTCGATCAGGTGGTGTTCAGGCCCGTTTCTATGCCCTCCCAGCCAGACCAGATGCTATTGCTTCAAATGTTGTGATTACAGGTATTGTCTCAGTCTGCCACAGAGATGCCTCTGTATTATTTGATCCCGGTTCCACATTTTCATATGTGTCATCATATTTTGCCCATTATTTGGATACGCCCCGCGAGTCTCTTGTTTCATCAGTTCATGTATCTACTCCGGTGGGCGATACTATTATTGTGGATCGTGTATATCGGTCGTGTGTAGTGACTATTGGGAGTTTGGATACCCGAGTGGATCTCTTGTTGCTTAGTATGGTTGACTTTGATGTGATATTGGGCATGGATTGGTTATCTCCGTGTCGTGCTATTTTGGATTGTCATGCTAAGATAGTGACGTTGGCTATGCCGGGGGTGCCACGGATTGAGTGGCGAGGTTCGACAGATTATGTACCTAGTAGAGTGATTTCATTTTGGAAGGCCCACCGGATAGTTGGGAAGGGTTGTCTTTCTTATCTGGCCTTCGTGAGGGATGTTAGTGCAGAGACTCCTACTATTGATTCAGTTTCGATAGTGAGGGACTTTCCAGATGTGTTTCCTGCAGACCTGCCGGGCGTGCCACCGGACAGGGATATTGATTTTGGTATTGATTTGGTGCCGGGCACTCAGACCATTTCTATTCTACCGTATCGTATGGCACCGGCGGAGTTGAAAGAGTTGAAGGAGCAGCTTCAGGAATTCCTTGATAAGGGGTTTATTCGGCCTAGTGTATTGTCGTGGGGTGCGCTTGTCCTATTTGTGAAAAAGAAGGATGGCACTACGAGGATGTGCATTGATTATAAGCAGTTGAACAAGGTCATAATAAAGAACAAGTATCATTTGCCTCGTATCGATGATTTATTTGACCAGCTTCAGGGAGCGAGAGTGTTCTCTAAGATTGATCTCCGTTCAGGGTATCACCAGTTGAAGATCAGGGGCTCGGACATTCTTAAGACAGCCTTCATGACCCGATATGGTCATTATGAGTTCCTTGTGATGTCTTTTGGGTTGACCAATGCCCCAGCAACGTTCATGCATTTGATGAACAACGTGTTTCGGCCTTATCTCGACTCGTTCATTATTGTATTCATTGATGATATTCTGGTATACTCGCGTAGTCAGGAGGAGCACGCGGAGCATTTGAGAGTTGTGTTGCAGAGGTTGAGGGAGGAGAAGTTGTATGCAAAGTTCTCCAAGTGTGAGTTTTGGCTCAGTTCAGTGGCTTTCTTGGGACATGTGGTGTCCAGTGAGGGTATTCAGGTTGATCCGAAGAAGACAGAGGCGGTTCAGAGTTGGCCCAGACCGTCCTCAGCCATAGAGATTCGCAGCTTTCTTGGTTTGGCGGGCTATTACCTTCGGTTCGTTCAGGGATTTTAATCTATAGCATCACCCTTGACCAGATTGACTCAAAAGGGTGCTCCATTCAGGTGGTCGGATGAGTGTGAGGCGAGCTTTCAGAAGCTCAAGACTGCCTTGACCACAACTCCCGTGTTAGTTTTGCCATCAGCTTCAGGTTCATATACAGTGTATTGTGATGCTTCGAAAGTTGGTATTGGGTGTGTGTTAGTGTAGGAGGGTAGAGTGATTGCTTATGCTTCTCGTTAGTTGAAGCCCCATGAGAAGAACTACCTCGTTCATGATCTAGAGTTGACTGCCATTGTTCACGCGTTGAAGATTTGGAGGCATTATCTCTATGGTGTGTCTTGTGAGGTGTTTACTGATTATCGTAGCCTCCAGCACTTGTTCAAGTAGAAGGATCTCAATTTGAGGCAGCGGAGATGGTTTGAGCTGCTAAAGGACTATGATCTTACCATCTTGTACCATCCGGGGAAGGCCAATGTAGTGGCTGACGCTTTGAGTAGGAAGGCGGTAAGTATGGGCGGTCTTGCATTTATTCTTGTTGGGGAGAGACCTCTTGCAGTTGATGTTCAGGCCTTGGCCAATCGGTTTGTGAGGTTGGATATTTCGGAACCCAGTCGGGTCTTAGCTTGTGTGGTTTCTCGGTCTTCTTTGTTTGATCGCATAAGAGAGCGCCAGTATGATGATCCTCATTTGCTTGTCCTTAAGGACAGAGTTCAGCACGACGATGCCAAGGATATGACTATTGGTGATGATAGAGTATTGAGGATGCAGGGCCGGATATGTGTGCCCAATGTACATGGGCTTCAGGAGTTGATCCTGGAGGAGGCCCATAGCTCGCGGTATTCCATCCATCCGGGTGCCGCGAAGATGTATCAGGATTTGAGACAGCATTATTGGTGGAGAAGAATGAAGAAGGATATTGTGGGATTTGTAGCTCGGTGTCTCAATTGTCAGCATGTAAAATATGAGCATCAGAGACCGGGTGGCTTGCTTCAGCAGATAGATAGTCCAGAGTGGAAGTGGGAGCGGATCACCATGGATTTCTTAGTTAGGCTCCCACGGACTTTGAGAAAGTTTGATGCTATTTGGGTGATTGTGGATCGGCTGACCAAGTCCGCGCACTTCATTCATATGTGTTCTACCTATTCTTCAGAGCGGTTAGCTGAGATTTATATCCGAGAGATTGTTCGCCTGCATGGTGTCCCAGTTTCCATCATTTCAAGTAGAGGTACTCAGTTCACATCGCAATTTTGGAGGGCCGTGCAGCGAGAGTTGGGTACTCAAGTTGAGTTGAGCATAGCTTTTCACCCTTAGACGGACGGGCAGTCCGAGCGCACTATTCAGATATTGGAGGACATGTTGCGCGCTTGTGTCATCGATTTTGGATGGTCATGGGATCAGTTTCCATCGCTTGCGGAGTTTGCTTATAACAACAGTTATCAGTCAAGTATTCAGATGGCTCCATATGAGGCTTTATATGGGAGACGGTGTAGATCTCCAGTTGGTTGGTTTGAGCCGGGTGAGGCTAGGCTTTTGGGTAAAGACTTAGTGCAGGATGATTTGGACAAGGTGAAGGTGATTCAAGAGCGGCTTCGTACAGCGCAATCCAGACAAAAGAGTTATGCTGGCAGGAAGGCCCGTGATGTGTCATACATGGTTGGGGAGAAGGTTTTACTGAACATTTCACCCATGAAGGGTGTTATGAGATTTGGGAAGAAAGGTAAATTGAGTCCTCGGTTCATTGGGCCTTTTGAGGTGCTCCGGAGGATTGAGGAAGTGGCTTATGAGCTTGTTTTGCCACCCATTTTGTCGAGTCTGCATCCACTATTTCATGTTTCTATGCTTTAGAAGTATATTGGCGATCCGTCTCATGTTTTCGATTTCAGCACGGTTCAGTTGGACGGTGATTTGACTTATGATGTGGAGCCAGTGGCTATTTGGAGCGTCAGGTTCGAAAGTTGAGATCAAAGGATATAGCTTCAGTAAAAGTATAGTGGAGAGGTCGGCCCGTGGAGGAGACTACCTGGGAGACCGAGCGGGAGATGCAGAGCAGATATCCTCACCTATTTGAGGCTTCAGGTCTGTTTCTTGACCCGTTCGAGGACGAACATTTGTTTAAGAGGGGGAGGATGTAACGACCCGGCCGGTCGTTTCATGAGTTACCGCTCCGTTTCCCCCATTTCTACTTCTTTATGTCTTGTTCAGCTGTATTATGTGGTATCGGGTTGGTTGGTTCGGGTTCAGAGTGGTTTTGTAGAGGAATGAGACACTTAGTCTCTTTTGAGTAAGCTTAAGTTGGAAAAGTCAACCGGAAGTTGACTTATGGGTAGAAGGCCTCGGATGTGAATTTTGATGGTTCGGATAGCTTTGTTAGGTGATTTGGGACTTAGGAGCGTGATGGGAATGTGATTTGGAGGTCCGTGGAAGATTTAGGCTTGAATTGGCGAAATTGGAATTTTGGCGCTTTCCGGTTGGTAGTGGGAATTTTGATATCGGGGTCGGAATGGAATTCCGGAAGTTGGAATAGGTCCGTTGTGTCATTTGGGACGTGTGTGCAAAATTTCACGTCATTCGGATGAGGTTTGATAGACTTTCTGATCGAATTGGGAATTCGGAAGTTTTGGAATCCGTAGGCTTGAATCCGAGGGTGATTTGATAATTTGATGTTGTTTTGAGTGTTCCGAAGGTTGAAACAAGTTTGAGTTTTGTTAAATGACTTGTTTGTATTTTTGGTTGAGGTCCCGGGGGCCTCGGGATAGATTCGGAAGGTTGACGGAAGATTTGGAATTTGAGTGGAGTTGCAGAATTTTTCGGGTTCTGTTGTTTCCGCACTTGCGGATTGGGGACCGCAGGTGCGACACCACAGATGTGTAGAGGAGGTCGCAAAAGCTGATTTGGGTTAGTTGGAGCTTGGCCGCAGATGCGGTGTGTTGGGCGCATCTGCGGGACCGCAGGTGCGGTTCCTGGACGTAGATGTGGCCCTGTGGAAGTTAATGAAAAACCACAGATGCGATTGTCTTGATCGCAGGTGCATTCCGCAGAAGCGTGATTTAGGCCGCAGGTGCGGGATCCCTGGGCCAGAAACTATATTAAGTTGGCTTGAGAGCTCTTTGAG